AGGGACTGAGTGGTGAGGGCCAAATGATAAGAAGAGAAAGACAGTGCTACTGCTGCAGCATTCCAGGCAGGAAAATAGGCTTGGGCCGGGGATGGAGGTGTTAGGAAGCGGTCAGATTTGGGATATTTTGGAGATAGAGCTAATATGATTTGGTGATGTAGGATGTGAAAGAGACAGACCAAAGATTTCTAAAGTTTGAGACCTGCATTACTTTGTGAATGGGTGTCATGAATCTAGAGTGGGAACTTAGGTTGAGGAGGAGTAAGCTAAATGTTGTCAGGTACTCTCAGCTGGTTCCAATATAGCAGCAGCTTTTTTCATAGTTGAGAATGGCGAAGCCAGTTAACTCCATCCATGTTTCTTTCTTGTTCCATACATCCTTAGTACCCAGAAGCAAGCCCATTCCTCCTCCACGCTATATATCACTTGTCCTCATTTTCATACATCTTATTGTTTTCTCATACTGAATTGTTACAATGTTTTTACCCACCTGACTCATCATCACCACCATCAAATACCTGACTAGATCTCTTTCATTATTTTAATTCATGTTCTATCTCCTCCAGAAATATTTTCTGATGCCAAATCCATTTTACTTTCATATCTGAGTTAGTGGTTCCTCCCATATATATCAGGGCACACTGTGTATAGTGTAAACACCTGTTTTGTGGCATTTAAAAAAAAAATCTATACTTCAACAGAATAAGAGAAGGGAAAGTATTCTAGGTTGGGAGATGGATATGAATAAAAGTTCAGGGACAGATTTGGAGAGAAGACCAGGGAAAAAAGGAAGATTGTTCAATGAAGCTGTGGGGGGAAGCAAAGATTAGAAGAATCTTTTGGGTCATGACAGAGAATTTTAAAAGACTAAACTGTGATTGGATTTAATACTATAGGACAGTGATTCTCAACTCTGGCTGTACCCCTAAAAACACCTCGAGAATTTTTAAAATCCCACTGGCCATGAATTGCCTGGATTCAGACTAAGTGACAATTTCTGGGTAGGGGACCCAGATTTTAAAGTTCCCCAGGTGATGTAAGCGTTAGCAACTACTATAAGAAGTGGAAAATAATTGGTTGAAAGTAAGAGTCAAGAAATTGAATCATTATATTCTTCATTATTTGTGATCTTGGGTAGGTAACTTAATTCCTAATGTTCTTTATCTGTAACTTTGTTGGATGATCTCTGTGGAGACTTTCCTATTTCTAAAATCGTTTGATTTTAATGAAGGAAAATGTATAACAAAATTATGTTGCAGGGAAGATTAATCAGCTAAGTGCAGGGCAGATTGGAGGTAAGAAGATATGAGGACAAATTGGAGGTTAGAAGGTGGTTATTCATTGTTAGTGTGGGCAGGACAGTGAGTTCCTAGGAGAAGCTAGTTGCTTTGGAAATGGAAAAGGGGGCACATTAAGCCCTCTTGCACCAATTCATAGATTTTCTACCCTTTCCTTAATAAAGATTTCAGGAGACTTCATTTAAGTGTGAGTGTTCAAAGGTTTGGTTGCTATGACTAGTTATTTTTCTTGTAACTTGTATTATTAATACTTGTTTTTAGCAAAATATTGAATAAAGGATGGCATATTTTGCCATAAAGTACTTAACGGATGTGCTCTTAACCAGTTGTGCAGTGGAAATAATTCATAGAAACATTTCTTAGATCATACTCTCTTGGATTTCTGAAAAATGATCAATAAAAAATTGAATTCATTCTCTGTTTAGCACCCTGCCAAATTAGAGGTAGGAATCTACTTGGAGTATGTTCATATATTTCTCCTAATACTGTATTATTCTTTATTAGCAATTTGTCAAATTGAAAGAAAAATTTGATTCAGAACTATAAAGTTTTTAACTACTTTTTAACTTTTTGTTCATTCTTTTATACCTCATAATATTTTTTACCTGTTATAGTTATTTTATGCCAAATTTTTTATGAGATCTTTTTTCCCCCACTTCTTCTTTAGATTACACATCTTCTTCTTGGTATAGTATTTTGGAGAGGGGTTTTTTTTGTGATTGTTTCTAATTATATCATTAAAAGAGTAGTTTTCCCTCTTTGACCTTACCCAGTTGTAATTGACTCATGTTACTCAAATTTAATGATTTAGTATATTTTGTTTCCTAAAAATAAGTCTTTGTATGTTCCTATTCAGTGATACTCTCTCTGTTTTAAAAGAATTCAGTTTTTAATTGAATTTGAAATAGCTTGATTAGTAAGTTATTCAAAGCTTGATGATCCAGTTTGAAAATGATGCACTCCTCTTATTTTTCATAACTACCTCGTTCAAAAAAATGCAACTCAGACTGATTGAACTTACCTGTTTTATGAAATTCAAGAGTGTTAAAGGAAAAATAAAAGTAAACACTGATCTTTGAGTTTATGTCATACTGTCTTCCTCCATTCTCAGCACTATAAATTAACTCGTGTGCCAGTAGCCAGTCGACTAAATAAATAACCATAACCATAGCCATTCTTGTTTCTGTCTCCAAAAGTTTTTTGCTAATGTTCAGATAATCTGTAGTCTCTAAGATATTTCTGAAGTTCTAAATTTTCATAATACAGCATAGAATATGTATATGAAGGATTGAAGTAAACAAATCTTAATGAGTCTTTAGTAAGGTATACTGATTATTAGAAAAGAGCGAAAGGATACTTGATTTTTTTAGAAAGTGTATGTTTATTTATAGTGCTGAAAGTATAAGAGTGAAAAAGAAAGGGAAAGTAAAATTAGAACTAAAACTTGACAGGTATAAAGACAGGAAGAAAGAAGATGGAGGGAAAAGATGAAGGGATGGAGGTTTAGAAAAATTTTGAAGAGAGGTAAATATTTTGGGGGGGGTAAGGCAAAAAAAAAAATAGAGGTGTCTCAAATTGGTAGACACTCACAAAGAGTGTTCACTTAGTGTTATGTTGGGCTCACATAGGGTTTCCATGAAGAACACTAGGAGTTAAGAGATCTAAATTCTAATCTTGGTTCTTTGTGTCACCTTGGAAAAGTCAGTTAACTCATCTGAGCTCAGATTCCTCATCTGTAAAATGCGAACATTGGACTAGGTGATCTTTAAGGTCCCTTCTGGCCCTAAAATTGTGTAATATTTCTTGGTGGTCAGTAATTGTGTGAAACACATTCCTGTTGTTAATTCACAGCTATTGCTGATTTTAGGACAGCATATTTGGGGAAAAGGATGTAAACTCCCTAAGGGTAGGAGCCTTTTCTGTCTTGTTCACTGCTGTATCCCCAGCAGCTAGCACAGTAGTTGGCACATAGGAGGCACTCAATAAATGTTTGTTGAATGAGTGATATGAAAAGTATCACTTTGGTGGTTCCTTATGGGAGCATCTAGAGGTCCTAGAGGGAAACTAGAGTGGATGAAGAGAAGGAAAAGACTGATTTCTTCTGAAGAAATCTTATATGGCTGATTTTTAATCTCTTGTTTTTCCTTATTTTGTCCTGATTCAGAGAAAGTGTCTGCAGCTAGTGGTATATTAATGGTCACAAAACTTTTAGTGACCATACATACATATGGTGAACTACACCAACATATAATCTAAGCCAGTTAGTTCCCTTCATGTCACCTAAAGAAAAACAGAACCAGCCTCTGTTCCTCATGGAACCTGTCTGAAAAGAGTACACATAGAATATATTGAGTTGGTTTATTGGCTTCATTCACTTGGGAAGCCACGTTAGGCTACAAGCCAAGTACTGAGGCCCCCAGATTCCCGTGAAATCTTTGTGATCCACTGGTATCCTTGGGATAGAAGATAGTACGTTGTTATGCCAAAGATAAATTTTTCAAAAGTTCTTGAGGTAAAACATTCAGAAAATATATTTACTCTAATTTTTTGGAGGTTATAGTTTCAAAATATTCAGGTCCTTGAAATTCTGGCTCCTGAAGTTAGACCAAAAAGGGAAGAAAAGAGTCACTTTAAATCCCTAGCACTAAAGCAATCTGTGTATTCATTAGCTCTCTCCATCTTATCACTTTTATTTAACTTCCAGTTCAGAGTAAGTTTAGTTGACTGACAGGCAATTTCACAGCTGACTAGAAATAGAAAGCACCAAAAAGTGTGGGTCAGGAAGATGGAAGCATTCATAGATAGATGTGATAACTGGTGACAGCAGGACATCCTTAATCTGAATGGGGAAAGGGCAGAGAATCTAAACACCTAGAATATCAGATATCCCTGATAACTTCTGAATCATTAAGAAATTAATAATTTATATTTCACATTAACAGAAGTTAGGAAATCTGTCAGACATTTCTGAAATAAGTTTATCCCAGTTAATTTTTTCTGTTTTGTAGCTGAATGCTAAAACTTCAGTAGTCTGTAAAATGTACCTGTTGGAATACATGCATCCTTGCATCTGGCCCCAGAAGTACCAGATAATTATATACAGGGTCATTGTACTTTGGAAACTTTTAAATGTTTTAAATTCTTGTCTCTTATATCAGCTTGAGTTTTTTTTTTTTTTAACAGTTGCTGACATTTTATGTTAGATTTGTAAAAATTGTAATGTTGAGAAGTATGTATGTATAAATAGTAGAGATTTCTTAAATGTGTTTTAAAAGGCTCATATAAAAATTAAAGCTACATCAGCAAGGTGGGGTTAAATGTCTGTGTTCCTCAGTTTTGATTTAAAACATAAAAACATAAAACTGCAAATTTCTTAAAGCCATATTTGTACAAAATGTTTTTATTGAGACATAAGTCATCTAATTTGTTAAAACCTTTGGCAGACGTAGTCTATTGTAAAATAGAAATATGAAAGATACAAATATGAAGGCGATATCCATTCATAATATTAAATTTCAGACTAGAACCTTTTTGTTAAAATCAGATTCCATTTGGAGTGAATTGAATATATCCATTTAAAACTTGCATATTCTATTACATGTTAGGTCATTTAAAAATGTTTTAAATTGCCAACTCCAGAAGATGGATAACAATTTCATTCCTGATGGCAATGAATTTCCTTCTTCTGAATTTTTTTAATAGGTGCACTAGGCCTTCCAATGAGGGGGATGAGCAACAATACCCCTCAGTTAAATCGCAGCTTATCACAAGGCACTCAGTTACCGAGCCACGTCACGCCAACAACAGGGGTACCAACAATGTCACTTCACACGCCTCCATCTCCAAGCAGGTATTTATTGATGGACCAGAATATTTCTCAAAATGTATCTTTGTAGAGTAAGCAACTTTCTAGTTTTTAATAAGATAACTAATTATTTGATTTTTCTGGTTCAGTGCCTTTCACTGAGGAAAAGAAAGTTAATACCCTGTGCTCCTTTTATTTCATTGCAAATTGATAAGTATAGTGTAAGATGTTCTTATCCTGCATCTAGCATACTGGTTGTCAGCTGGGTGGGTATCAAGGGTTAAATCACCACCTGGGGACCTTTATCAGAAGCCAGCTCTCTTCCTCAAAAGAGGATGTGTAATTTAAAATCATCCCTCAGATAATTCTGATTATTGCTCCCTCAACACACATTCATTGTTCTAGTGAGTAAAACAAAACAAGATTACATAGACAATGCATATTAGCATGAAGAAGATAGAATGGCATACATTTCGAATGAACTTATTTTAAATATATGTGTGAAATACATTTGTATTATTTTATATCATAGTCACAGCAATAATTTTCTCCTCTTAAATATCACGTTACATTAGTTCTGCCGTAATTTACCCAATTTCTTGTTGGTTTTACTTTTCTTTTCAAAGAGCTAGAATGACCAGACAAAATAAGTAATGAAAATTAGCAGTGTAATTTGAAAGTGTATTTGAGGTTCTGGGGTCAGGCTGATTGATTATTTACAGAGAATTTTAATGAGTGATTGTAGAGAGCTTATTTAGTATAATGGACTTCTTTTTCAGGGGTATTTTGCCTATGAATCCTAGGAATATGATGAACCACTCCCAGGTTGGTCAGGGCATTGGAATTCCTAGCAGGACAAATAGCATGAGCAGTTCAGGGTTAGGTAGCCCCAACAGAAGCTCGCCAAGCATAATATGTATGCCAAAGCAGCAGCCTTCTCGACAGCCTTTTACTGTGAACAGGTAAGATGTTTATTGATAATGTGTATAATTGTCTTTCTGGGTGTTTTCAGATTTGCCTTTTCGTATTCAACATTCTGTTTCTTGAGTCTTGGCTTCTGTCTCATAAGTATGTTTCATTGTATTTTTATGACCAAAGATTCTCTTTGTGTTACACATTACAACTTTAATCCTCCCCAAACTAAAGGCATGTTCTTTTGAAAATCAGTTTGATTGTAGAAAGCACATTAAAGCTTTTTGTTGTTGTTAGAAAAGAATTGTTCTTAAGTTGCCACCAGGCAAATTTTTATTGATAGGTCCTTCCTCTGTTAAATGAGGCTGGCCACTTAATGTGGTAAGAGTTCCAGACTTATGAATAGTACCAGGGATATGTTTGACTATTACTGCCTTGCTTCACTTATGCTTTGGTTCAGTACCTTTTCAACTAAAACTCAGTTTGGTGGTTTGGAGACTTAGTAACCAGAGACTTTTTAAGACTACATCTACAATATTTGAAAATAGTGTCATGTCCTGGGGTTTAAAACAAGATGAGCTGTGTGCTTTATACACCTTTTTGTACTGTCCATTTGCATGTTTACTATGCAGATAATAATGACATTATGAAGACCAGTTGTCCATCTTGTTAAGATTTTTAAGCTGTTCAGATAATTTATATGAGAGTGATGACTACAGTACAAGGCTTTGTATCTTGCAAAAATAGCATTTAAGTCTGCCATTTTTTTTAAAAAATGGGGAACTGTGGGAGGAAAAAGATCTTGACCTATTTGCTATCATCTTACCCATTTAATTCACTTTATCTGTTACTTGTAAAATCTGGATTCAAATAGGTTATTAACACATTTCCTGTTTGATCTTCATCCCATAAACTCCAGTTCTTTTATTTAGATTTATGAGTATTTCTCTTAATAATTTTACTGCTTTTACTTTTTTTAAAAAATTATTATCATAAAGGGTTATTCAAAATTCTTATCTCCTTGATAGCTTCCTAATCATACACTTCTTGGGCTTTATCACATCTTTTCTTACAGTATTGTTCATTAAATGTATGTTTATATTTTTGCCTTTCCATATTTTTTTCACATTTTAATTGTTTTTTAAAAATACATTGCTTATAAATTGTCAATGAAACATGGGTTTCTAAAACCCTGCTTACTAGTTTTGGTAAATTGTATTTGTTACAGAATGTCTCCATCCCTTAGTACTTATTCAATGTGTGAAGGTACCTAGGTCACCAACATTGCTCACTTGCTATGAAACAAGTATTTTTAATGGCTTTCCTTCTCTTCTCTAGAGTATTGTTTGATCAGCTCCAGATTTTGTGAAAACACTGTTTGGCCATAGTTAGTTTTACAGATTTAAGTGAAAAAACAAAAACAAAAAACCCTGTCATCTTCAAACACTTTAACCCTACTCATAACACTGATACACTCTTTTATCAGATTATTTGATGGTAAAGATGCCTACTTTCATTGTAGAATTTGCATTAACAGCTCTTTTTGACATTCTTAATTACTTCTGGCCTTGCCTTAAGTTCAGACTTGTTTTTGTTTTCTCATGTTTAGGCTTGTGCAAAAAAGGTAGGCGTTTGTAACTATTTACCACGTACCAATTGTGCACTGCTTTAGAATGGAGGGCACTATGGAGAGAGTTGGTTTTTCTTTTAAGTAGCTGAAAGATAAACTATATTTAGATAAGAATGATGTGTTTTAGAGCACTAAATTCAGTTAAAGAAAAACATCACTTAATTCAGGTAAACTAAACCTTTATTGAGTGCCTGTTGTGTATCCTCCTGAAGACTAAAGGCAGAGGATGCAAAGATGACTATGACACAGACCCTGTCTCTGAGGAGTTTATATTCTAGTTGGGAAAGACTGTGTTGTATGAAAGAAGATCTTTTATGGAAAGCAATAATGGCACACTTTACCAGTAGTGGAAGGAGAACAAGTATGCAGGAACAATAGTTTTACACTAAACTACATGTTTTTGAGATCAGTTACTTCTACCAGTGTATCCAGTAAGTTGGTTCTCCAAGCACATCAAATAGTGCCCTTAATCTCTGTTTTCCTCCAGACTTATGTGTACATTCTTTGCTTTTTGTTTTTTAATTCATCTGTTTAAGACATTATGGTTCTCAGTTATTCATGGAGGGACTTCAGGAACATTTTCAAATAAAGGTTAAACTCAGAAAAATGAAAGTAGTGTTTGTTTTTAAACATATTGTTGTTTTATATGAGGAGGTCAAAAGTATACACTTCTGTTTTTCTTCATCTGGAAGTTAGTGTTCTCTTACTGTATATCTAAAATTATTTTCTATGTACCCAGTATGTCTGGATTTGGAATGAACAGGAATCAGGCATTTGGAATGAATAACTCCTTATCAAGTAACATTTTTAATGGAACAGGTAAGCTTATTCTGGAGGTAGTACCCTATAAAAAATATGGTAGATCTTTGAAATATGAAGCAATTCAACATACTGGTCTTAAAATATTACTAGATTTTTGTGTTAAACTGGTAGAATTTAATTTAGTGAGAATTTGACAGGAATAGGGTTTAATTCAAGTGAATAGTTGAGAGATATTTAAATATATTTTTTCACTTGATGTGGTAATAGCATAGTGTTATAACTTCAGAATTATTTCCTTAATACCTAGAGAAAGCCCCTGAACATTACCCTAGTCTGTATTTATGCTTCAGAATTTTTTTTGCTTCAAGAGCGTTTCCTATCCTCAGTCCTGTCACTACAGTCTAATTTAGGTTGAGTGTTACAGCATTCTGGTTATAGGGACCCAGATTGAAGAAACCTTTAAAATTTTATTGGAGCACTTAACAACTTTTTCTTGATAATTTTAATAATACTAATTTTGGCATTTAACCCTTGGATTTTTTATCCAGTTTTATATGTAAAGTTCAGAATTTAATTACAGAGACATCTGATTTTGAATTCCTGCAGTCCATTGGTTTCTTTCTTTTATCAACTGCTTCAGAGAGAAGAGAACAGGAGGCTTAATTGCTATTCTGTTTCAGATTTCACCCTCTTCCATCCTTGCCTCCAGACCCTTTCCAGAGAAAAGAAATAAAGGACGTTGTTACGGTCATAGGAGCAAAAATGAATTGATCATTCAGAGAGAAATATATGTGAAGGAAGTGGAAGGGAAAGAATGATCAGTGAAATGAAGCATATGTGGAAGCATCAGACAAGATTTAGTAATGAAATGTCATTTGTGACTATGAGCTTTTAATTTTATGTGGTATTATATGTGTAGCAGCGTAGATTGATCAAATTAGACTTTAAAATTCCAAATTGTAGCATTTAAAACTTATAGTTTTATGTTCAAGGTGTTAAAAATGATATGCAGTACCATATTCCCACTGTTTCTGAAATGTTCCAATTTTTTCATATTTTATTATCTCTGAAATCAGACTATGTATCATAGTTTAATTGGCAAGTTATTTTTTTTTCCTAAATGGACCATAAAGTAACAGTGTGTCTGACAATGCCATCTTATATTCTGAATTACACTTTTCCACACTTCCATAAATTTTAAAATTATTTTTAAAATTCAGTTTTAACTAAACTTTAACTATTTTTAGGAAAATTGTCTCCAAGTCTTTACCTAAAAATTCAAATTTGGGGGTTTATTAAGTATTTTTTAGGTTAAAATTCTCAGATAGCATGGCAATTTTAAATTCCATCTTAGAGGACCTGAAGATGTGTATTGAAAGTTAATACATATTCAAAGTTTTTGGTTAATTTATAACTATGTAACTAACTATAATAGAATAATTCAAGAAAGATAACTTTTGTAGATTGAAACACTATAAATTTGTCCTGTTGGTCTTTTTATGTAGTAGTATCTTTTTTTAATTAAAAATTAATAAATTGCTGTTTGTTTAGAAACAGTAGATATGATTTTATCATTTACTCTTCATAATTTTAAATTATAACCTGAGTTGGATTGTTATGAGAGTGTGTTGTTTTTCTGTCAACAAAGTAATCTTGAGGTAATTAATTTCTGAGATTTTTCTAATTATGAAACTTGGAGAAAAATTCAAAATTAACTGAAAGGCCACATAAATTAAAAATGCTATAAAACATGAAAACATCAGATGAAACAAAGTTTTTAAAAAAACCCTATAGTTCAGGCTAAAACTAAGGTAGAAAATTAACTTCTTCAAAAATTAAGCATATAAGATTGTAAAAATAATAGAATAATAAAAGTTGAGAAGAAATTAAGGGGATGATTAAAATTGGCAACATAGAGGGGCCTCTACCTGGCTCAGTTAGTAGAGCATGCAAGTCTTGATCTTGGGGTTATGAGTTTGAGCCCCATGTTGGGTGTAGAGATTACTTAAAAATAAAATCTTTAAAAAACAGGCAAAGTAGAAATATTAGGTTAAATTTCAGGCTGATCTTTTTCATTTAAAATGAACAAAAATTAATTTTATTCATTTAATATATTTATTGAGCGCCTACTGTGCAATAGGTAATATAATCTTCTGGGCTTTGCATCATATTCCCATGCTTCCCAAACTCTTGCCAGACATGGGAACCCTATTTATATTGTGTCTACCCCACCTGGCTATACTCCCCAACTGCAGAAACAGACACACACACACTTGCACACACATACGTGTATATGGGACAAGTAGATCACAGGACAGAAGTCCTTAGAGTTTCTGCTCTCACTGCCTGTGTTTCAGATATGATTCTGGTCATTTGCAAGAGGCACTGTCATTATCACACCTGTGTGTAACTAAAGCTCCAAGCATCCAGATACTACCTCTGCTTTTGGATATAATGAAAAGAACAGTTACATCACAACGGTCTCTCTCTTGTTAGCTAACAAGAGAGCTATAACTTTAGAGTACCCTCCTTCACAGGGGAAATAATGTACCACATTAACTCCTTATTGTCTATCTTAAGTCTCTAGGATTTGGGGTTTTTATTATGTTAGCTACATATTGTTTGCTGAATTATTCATGAAATTCTTTTGCATGAAATAAGTCCACAAGTGTTTAATGTACACTTATACATACTTAGTACAGTGCTGTGTCTTTAGGAAGAAGGTACTGTCATTTCAAATTATACAATGGTTGGTGTTTAATAATCCCTTTAAAATGTTTGTACAGAATGCCTGGCTGGCTCAGTCAGTAGAGTATGTGGCTCTTGATCTCTGGGTTGTGAGTGCAAGCCCCATATTGGGCCGAGAGCTTATTTAAATTAAAATAAAATGTTTGTAGAACCAATAATGTTCTTTCTCATTATTTAGATGGAAGCGAAAATGTGACAGGATTGGACCTTTCAGATTTTCCAGCGTTAGCAGACCGAAACAGAAGAGAAGGAAGTGGTAACCCAACTCCATTAATAAACCCCTTGGCTGGAAGAGCTCCTTATGGTAATTAAGCTTTCTAATGATGGGTAATGGAAACTTTTCCATTGTGCACACACACACAGACATACACATTTGTGTACATATGCATGTTCATGTCTGTACACACACACACACACACACACACACACAATATGTTTTCTAATCAGAGTAGCATAATTTCGTCAAAGCTGATATATGCAAAGTGCATTTTCCTTCCAGAATACCATGATAGCAAAGTTAGATGGGAAACAGTTTGTACAGAAACCCAAAAGGAAATGTTCATTGGTATTTAGAGGTTTTCTTCTGGCATTTCTGCCTTAAGTGTAACATAATGATTAAGGTGCCTTTTCTCTTCTTAATTCATCACACATTTTTGAAGAATACATTCCTACATTCCTGGTGATTAGTAGTGACTGACCTTACATGGAATATTTTTCCTAAGCCAGTTTCTCAACCTCCACACTACTGACATTTGGGTCAGATAATTCTTTGTAAATGGGGGGTGGTGTGGGGCTGTTCTGTGCATTAGAGAATGTTATAGCAACATCCCTGGCCTCTGCCAACTTGATGCCAATAGTACCTCTCCCCACCATCGTTTTGACAACCATAGGTGTCTCTAGACATTGACACATGTCCCATGGGAGAAACAATTGCCTTCTGTTGAAAACTGCTCATAGGGTCATGGATAGTTCATGTAGACTTTTGGTCACAATTAAAGCCCTTTCTCACTGTCTCTAATAATTAAGAGATTTGGCTAAATGAAAAGGAAGGGCATGAAATGTGTGCAATAACAACTTAGACGTGAAAATTATGTAACAACAATGTAGCCATATTCTCTTTACCCATTGCACATAGTTGTTTCCTTTTGGGAGAATCTGATAGAGATCAGTAGCAGAAACAATGAACTTAGAAGCATCAGTTCATAACTTTTTTAAGATAATGGTTTCTCCCATTTTCATCCAAGAAGGATTTCTGTGCCTTTCAGAATATGAATATAAATAACAGTGTGTGGAGAAGGGAGAGTATATATTGTTAGTATTCTAAAGTTTCCAAATTAGTCTTCCAAAAATAACAAAAAAAATGATCTGCCCTGGAAGTTGAGTACCTAGCTACTTGATTCTCAGTTCAGACTCTAATGTTTTTAACCTTTCCTCATAGGTCCATTTTTTCATCCCTTTAATCATTCCCGTTGCTCTCCTTGGACCAACTCTAGTTTCTCCATATCGTTCTTGAATTGTGGAGCCCCAAACTGGATATTGTTCTCCAATAAGGGCCTGACTAATGCCAAGTATAGTGGGAGGATTACTTCCCAGTTCTTGCATGTTTTACATCTATTACATGGAGTCCAAGAAAATCTGAAATAATATGGAGTTGTTTTATAATTGATTGCAATTTGCTCACTCTGTAAGTCACTTTCAAGTAGAATACTGACATGTTCTTTTAAAATTTATTTTGTTCATTTGTATTTGACAATTAACTGGTGTTTATAATAGCTAGTCAAATATTTAAGTCAAGCTTTAAACCAAAAATTTTAATAACTATTACCAATATCAAATTGTTTTTAAGCATCTATATATGACATTAGATTTAGAATTATAGGATTACCACTTACTTCCCTTGTATTATTTTGTATATTGAGTTATTAATCAGTATATAAAAATATAGTTCTTCATTATTATCCTGAATACTAATTTTTTGAAGTGTGCTTTCATAGTGTAATAAAAAATCCTTTTGGTATGTTAGTATGAGGAAACTTTAGTTTTTTTATAATTTGTAGTAAAATAGCATAAATATGAATTAGAATTTTCTGGATTATTTTCATTACATAGTGGGAATGGTAACAAAACCAGCAAATGAGCAATCCCAGGACTTCTCAATACACAATGAAGATTTTCCAGCATTACCTGGTTCCAGCTATAAAGATCCAACGTCAAGTAATGATGACAGTAAATCTGTAAGTAACTGAGAATTATGTGTGTGAGTAATGTAGTTTTTTCCCTTCAGACTTCTCTTGTATTAACAGTTTTATAGACTATATTAAGGACTTACTAAGTACTGTTACAAAATTGTTTATCTTGAATATCTGTAATAATCTAACTTCTGAAGAATGTGGAAAACCTTTATAACTTAGAAGATAGCCTATTTTTTTCCTATTTCGTATAGGTTTGCAAATTTCTGTTGAACTTCTCAGAGTTAATTTAGACTTTTATTGTAGTCCCTGTCAGCTGGATCCCATGAAGTTTGATATTATAGCCTTCTAAGGAGCTGTGTTTTTCTTGAGTAAGTTTTCTCCTTGAAGAATCTTTATACACATTTTTATTCCTGTGTTGATTCAGCCAACTCAGCTTCCTCTTTCTGACTTAACGAATGTGTTTTATTTCTTCCACATTTCACTGAAAATAGCTTTTTTTTTTTTTTGTGATGGGAGTTTGTATGTATTGTTAAAATAGTTGATAAAGAAGATTACTGGGTAAGAATTAAATATGAATTTTAAAAGTTTATATATTCTAACTTATCCTGGAGGTTTTTATGGTGATATCATAGGCAATGTACTGTAATATTTCTCTTCTAAATTAAAGTGTTGAAGAGTGAAACTTGAAGTATATCCCAAAGCATATAGTTCTGAGATAAAGATTATTTTTCTGTGACTGAAGATCTGAGATATATAAGAATATCTTTCATATATTTTTGTCCTTTAAATACCCAAATGTGTAAAATACAGGATTTATTTGTAAACCATGGGACAGTTGTGGAAACAAAAAGTTTCATGTAGAACTTGAAAAACAGGTAATAATATACTACCAATTTAAATATAATAAAGAATGAATAGAAAGGTAACTAATACGTGTACTCAATTTTTGCACTTAACAAATTTTAATGTCACATTTAATTTTTTCCATGTTAGAATTTGAATACATCTGGCAAGACAACTTCAAGTACAGATGGACCCAAATTCCCTGGAGATAAAAGTTCAACAACGCAAAATAATAACCAGCAGAAAAAAGGGATCCAGGTGTTACCTGATGGTGGGACTTTATAAAATATGTCAAAGATATTATAGAATTCGTTTCTTTACTTTTTCCTTAAAGATACAATTACTATGTTCTTCTTATCCAGGTCGGGTTACTAACATTCCTCAAGGGATGGTGACGGACCAATTTGGAATGATTGGCCTGTTAACATTTATCAGGGCAGCAGAGACAGACCCAGGAATGGTACATCTTGCATTAGGAAGTGACTTAACAACATTAGGCCTCAATCTGAACTCTCCTGAGTAAGTTTTTTTCTTTTCTTCCACATTTGTGTATAATACTTCCTTGTGGATTTCCAGTTTTTAATTTCATGTGATCACAGTGTATTACCTGCAGCCACTCGTTGCTGTTCTCTCTTGACTCTTTGGGTCATTCCCTCTCATGTTAGCTCCTGGATCACTGTCATTTGACAGTATCATTCCCTTATAATTTGGCAGTTTCAAAATACACATATTTGATCCTTCCCGAATCCTGAGATCTTGGCTCCTTGAGTTTCTCACCTCCAAAAGTCTTAACCCTCCACCATATCTCAGCTACTTACAAAGTTATCCCTTTGACCTTGGCATTATCAGTAACTTCAGTTTCCCTGTAATTTTAAGTCTCTGCTCCCATGCCACTTCCGGTTTTCCGTCTTTCTCCCTCTAGCACTGACTCCAATAATCATTTGACTCCTTGGGATCTTCAGTCTATTGATTCTTCTACCTTTTAGTGTTCTTCAACATCCTTCTCTTCACCTGAGAAGATTTCACTTTCTTCTTACCCAGTTAAATTCTTTAGTCTTTCGTAATGGCTTTTTACATACATGCTTGACTACTTTGCCCCTCTCTTACTTTGTCATGATTTCATGGCAAAAACTACAACCCTGGTTATACTTCAGTTATTCCATTCTTGATCTGTGCTATTGAACTGGTTAAAGAAAAGCACACAACTTCACTGCCTAGTCCTCACTTCTAGGAACCTCAAAAGCGGGCTCATAATTCTGCCACCCATAATTGTAAGTGGCGTGCCTGGTCCCTTCATTCTTTTGCTCTCCTATGCAACTATTCCACACTCGTTTCTCCTAACATCTAATTACCTTTTTCCCAGTCCTTACTCTCAGATGGAGACCTTGCTTTTTTTTTTTTTTTCTTTCCTGAGTTTTTATTTAAATTCCAGTGAGTTAACTTACAGTGTAATACTAGTTTCAGGTGTAGTAGTAAGACCTTGCTTTTTTAATTTCTACTTTCCTAAGAAAGCTGGAAGTAATCAGAAGAGAATGTCAGCATAGTCCTACCACCAGATCTAATTATCTGCTACCATCTGCACCCACCTTATTCTTGTCTTTCACCCTGCTGATCCATGCTTTCTACTTAAAGTCTCTCTTGAAAACTCAAGGACATAGCTCTAACAATTTTTGCACATTGTTGGATCATTTCCGTCAGCGTACAAGTAATGCTATTACTTCCTCTATGTTAATAAAGTACATTCTTTTTGTCTAATCTCTTCCATGAATTACTGCCTTTATTTCTTTATTCTTACTTTGTGAAGAGCAAAACTCTTTTAAAAAGCCATTTTTTATCTTCCATTTGTCTTCTCCCATTCTCTGTTAAACCCATTTCAGTTAGGATTTTGCTCCCTCACCCCTTCACTAAATCTGCTCTCATTGAGGTCATCAAATTCAGTGGTCTCTTGTAGAAACTTGACCTGTCAGCAACATTTGACATAATGGATTCATTGCTTCATGCTTCTCATTGCTTTTAACTGCCAGCACCCTGGTTTGAATCACCATCCTTTCTTTCCTAGATTATACCATCAGACAGTCCCCAGGTATCCCTGATGCTCTGTGTGCCCCTCACAATCTCTTCTTTATGTAGCAGCCAGAACAATCCTTTCTGAATAAGTTAATCCTTTGCTCAGTGCCCGGTAAAGGTCTGTGGTTTCCTTATGATTAAAAACCTAAAATCTTTACAGGCCTACTCATCTCCACAGGCATGATCTGTCTCTCTCCTGCCACCACCTCAACAGCTTCTCCCTTCGTTCACTCTGTTCCAGTTTCATTGACCTTCACTGGCTTGGCTGTACCTCAGACATGTCAGTCATATGTCCACCTTAGTTTTGCTAAGTTGCTTAATTGGCTCTAGCAGTTCCCTCAGACTAGAATAGTCTTCTGCCAGGTCATGAATATGGCTGACCCCCCTCACATCTTTCAAATTTTTGTTCAAATCCTATCCTATCTTCTAAATGGAACCTAAGCTGGCTACCTAATTTAATGCAACTGATACCCCTCCTTACCCCTCCACCAACACGGAATATTATTTATTATGCACCTCCTCCTAATCCACCATCCTAACCAGAAAGTAAATTTTATGTTGTCAGTTATCTTTGTTTTGTTCGCTGATGTATCTCAAGCACCTGCAACAGTGTCAGGCATGTAATAGGCACTTAGTAAATATTTGGTGAATTTGAACTTTTGCTTTTAATAATTACTGATTTTTTCTGGCCATGTAAATGGGAAAGTAATTTTACTGGGGGCATGGTATTAATGAATTTAAAGCATTCTGAGTTGAAGTTACGTATATATGTGAATATATAACTTGTAACTTAATAGAGACACTGAGTATATATACAGCTATTTAACCGTGTTTCATTTTTCTGCTGTGTAAGTTGTAGTAAACACATCAAACGAAATTAGAAGTAAAGATACTCATTTTACTTTTGAAGTCATTTTTTTTTTGATTTCCTGAATAAAATTAGAAATTCTTTGATTCTACTTTGGATTTCAGAGTGGTTTTTTTTTTCCCTCTTATTCAGAAATCTTTACCCCAAATTTGCATCACCCTGGGCATCTTCACCTTGTCGACCTCAAGACATAGGTAGGAGAATCTATTTGTGTTCAGACCTTTTAAAAATATTTTTTAAACTGAGAATCAGTTAATAAGGCTTTTTTCATTTTATTATCCAGACTTCCATGTTCCATCTGAGTACTTAACGAACATTCACATTAGGGATAAGGTGAGTGTAGTTTATTATTCTCCTCAGTCAGCATGAATGTATCTATTTTCCAGGCACTGTTTTTCAGTTTAGACAGCATAAAGTCTTTTGAAATAATTAGCAGTGGTCTCAGGGGTATGCTTTCATGTTGCCAATTCAATTATAACAGTTTTATTTCTATTTTAATGTTTTGATGAGAATCCTGGGTTATATTTAAAGAATATGTTTTAAAAACAAAACAGTGGTAGGTTTGGTCAAATATTTCTCAGAGTTCTTAATAACAGGTTATAACCATGGTTGATGAGAATCAACTATTTTGGAAAATTTGATGAATTTCTTTCTGATATTCTCATTTTATGCCCTTGTATCAATAAGAAATACATTTTTACAAATATTACAGTGTTTTCAGTGGAACAGTGTGTACATTTAAAAGCTATGGCATTGGCTTTAAAATTTTTTTTAATTACCTAAAATTCTAGCTATAAAATAACTATTAACAGATTGAAGTTTTAACTTTTTTTTTTAACCAAAAAAAGAAAATGGTAGATACTCTTGTTGAGGGGAAAGAACTAAAATGTTCATTTCTGTTAGAAATTGTATCCCTAGATTTTGACATTGAGGAAAGATACGATTTATTAAAACTTACGTGTTACACATATGTATATAAATATGTATTGCATTATATATTTATACATAAATATAAAATATTATATATATGTGTGTGTGTACACACACACACACACACACACACACACACACACACACACACACAGGTGTTCTGTGTCTGTACCATGCAATTGCATGGTCAAATGGATGTTGATTTTGTGGACAGGCAAGTAAAGAGATATTTCTCAATATGTCTCAATACTTGAATAGATGGAAGACAAGAAGTATGGGATAGAGCTTATTTTTTCTGTTTGTGGATCGTGTGATTTTTCTGCTACATCTATCATAGGGCTTTTTTGCTCCAATTACCTAAGGGTTCCAAAGCCTTTTCTTACGGCAATTTAAGAAATACTGATTTGAGAGAATTTGTCACATTAAAAACTGCTGCTTGAATGGGGATAATATGGAGAGAGAAATTATATTCTAAGAATGTATAACAGTTAAATAAACATTTAGATGGAGGATTAGGTGAAGAGAGAAAAGTGTTTTCATTTTGGTGAGAATAAAGGCTTTTCCTAACACAAGAGTTGGAGTCTATTAAACTCAGTGTTTTATTAGAGTTTGGTTGGCGGTTAATGTTTCTGCTTTATGGAGGGACATGTGAAGCAATCATCTTTTAGTCATCCATTTAAACAAAATAAAGAGCTATCACTTTATGATTTTTGTATTTACCATATGTGATTTGGTAAAAATACATAACCAATTTGTGAATCACTGTCAGATACAGACTGAGCTAACATTTCTTACAGGTTTCCTATGTATCAGGTCCTCTTTAAGGTGCATTCGTATACAGGCACTTTATCAATTTTTACTTACATTCTTAGTAACCTTGTAGGTCTCATTTCTCCATTTTATGTGGAAGTTCAGAGACCTTAAATAACTTGGACATGGGTCATATTAGTAAATAGTGGAACCAGGACTTGAATATAACTCCTGCATCTCTGAGCATCATGTTCCACTATTGTTACTGTGTTGGGTATTAATAAACCCTCGTGTAAAACAGCATTTGGTCTTGCTGAGAAGTTTTTATATAGGTTTTATTTTATTATTATATAAACAGATGTACCAGAAATAGTTGTTAAATGACTCTAGTTATTTAAATGATAAAACTCTCCCCCTTAGGGTTATAACTACCTATGAAATCACGTAATAACAGTTATCTACTACAGAGAAGAGGGTTTGTTTATCTTGTTATTTTTACTATCGTAATAGCAATGTTAGGGTTTTCAAACTTATTTTACACTTCAGAATAATTGATTTCTCTCTTCCAGCTGGCTGCAATAAAACTTGGCCGATACGGAGAAGACCTTCTCTTCTATCTCTATTACATGAATGGAGGAGACGTATTACAACTTTTAGCTGCAGTAGAGCTGTATGTTCAAAGTATTTTCAAACACTTTTGTATTATAGTGGATCTTGTTTATTCTGAAAACTTTTTTTTTTAATGATGGCTATAGTCTGTCTTTTGTTTTTAAAGCAGAAATATTTCCATCAAGAAATAATTTGTTTTTACATTTAGTAAAATAAAGTTAATTTAGATTGAAAGTTTATATTGCTATGGTTTCATAGTCATTGTATACATAAAAGGAATTATTTCAGATTTAAATAATCCTAAATTTGTAAGAAGACAGGATTGACTTCATTCATGAATTTGGTGAATCTGATTTTTATAAATATGTGAAGTATAAGATCTGGTCGCTTCCTAACTGTGGCTCATCTTCTTATGGAACCACATAAGACAATGAATTGAATGACAATTGAATTTCATTTGACAATGAATTTCATCATTTATCTGTTGAGTATTATATGGGCAAGGCACTGTGCATATTTCTTGTGTGTTCTGAAGTATTGATAAAGTCCACATTCATTATCAGAAGCTTGTTGGCCAACTTAAATAAATTAATGTTAAGTAGTTGGCCCATTGGATACATCTTTTTTCCTGAGCATTTCTGTTTTTGCCTAATGCTCTAAGAATAAAAATTTTGTGTCATTTCTCATATGTCCAATTGGTAACATTTTGTTACCAATGGACTATTATAATAATCATGTTTACTTGAGTGAATTGTTAGTTAAAATTCATGATGTTATGGGGCACCTGGCTGGCTCAGTCGATGGAGCAAGTGACTCTTGATCTCAGGGTCCTGAGTTCAAGCCCCATGTTGGGGATAGAGATTACAAAAAGAAAATCAGGATGCTGTGATTGAGAGACCTAATTTTTTACAGATTTAAATATTTTATAATATTCCTAATAACATTTCTATAAATGACCTTGGATCAGATACTTAAAATGTAAAATTCACTGTGTTGATAATAAATTGTTTTTTTATTTTTCTATTGAGAATTTGTTTTCTCCCATGTTTTCCCCTCATTTTTTGTAACATAGAAATTGTTACCTGTTACCTTTTAATTTATTCATAAGTAAATAAATTCATTTAGTCATTCATATATCCATTACTGGCAGTTCTGTCTCATATCTCTTTTATGTTGAAAAATTACCTCACTGTATTAGTAGGAAGGTATTTGTTTATATGGAGGTTTGTTCTACCAGAGATGTTTTTTGTGGCTCATTTACCTCCTTTGGATGTTACTTCCCCAGTTTACAAGTGATATAAATCCTCATTGATTCTTGCATGAATTCTAGTGGATATCCTTTTGGCTTTTGAGAATTTAGGATCAATGAAATTTAAATAAAAAATAAAAGTAATACATTCATGAAGAGTTTTTTGAATGGATATTCTGTTTCCAACATAGTTACAAAATTATGTGAATTTGGATAGTTAAATAGACTGTATTTAGTTCCTTACAAAATAATACAGTAGTTGAGATTTTTGTTTGTTTTAATGGATGTCTCAAGTTCTGTTGAATGTTAAGAAGAACAAGAAAGGAGTGAAGTTCCTAGAACACAATGTATCTTTATTTGGTCTAAGTTTTTATCACATTGCTCATAGAGCTTTTAAGATCTCATTTTGTTTGCATGAAAAAATTTCTTTAGTTAAATAAAGATGTGTATGTTAATTAAAGAGTGTGTTTTCTGGACAAATTAAAATTATTTTCCTATATTTCACTAGGGTTGTATTTAATAACAAAGTCAGGATAAAGAAGCATCTATATTTATGTATTTTAGGTGAAACTATTTTCTGAGTAAAATTTTACAAAATGTAGAAAATGTTTGATGTGAGCCACAGGAAAGAATTAATTGTCTTTTTCTCTTAAAAATTGAAGTTTTAACCGTGATTGGAGATACCACAAAGAAGAACGAGTATGGATTACCAGGGCACCAGGCATGGAGCCAACAATGAAAACCAATACATATGAGAGGGGAACATATTACTTCTTTGACTGTCTTAACTGGAGGAAAGTAGCTAAGGTATATTTTTTTCCATGTGTAAATGTATAAATCTAGATTTTAAAAAGAAGTATCCTCTTTTATCTGTTTATATGTACCAAGACATCCATTCCAGTAATGTGCCACATGCTTGCTAAATAAGTCTTTGTCATCTTCACCTTCTTGGCTTGATTTAAACTAGGCAAGTGTCTGGAAACAACTCCTTTCACCCATAGTTAGGAAAAGGATTGCTTTACACGGCTTTTCACAAGCCGTGATAACATTTGAGATATTTTTGTGTCTACTCAGTTGTAAAATAAAGATAACCCTCTTGCAGTCCCAGTCATGTATTCTTATATTATTATTACTTTGAGCAGGTAGGAGATTTTCCTAAAACTGGTATATAAACAGATAATAGGCTTTTTAAAACACTTACACTCATTGCAGGAAAGATGCTTGAGTTTTTATTTACAAATGATATAAAGAAAGAAAATTGTAAGCATTAACCATGATTGTTCCTATGACTAGTGTGCTGAGTGTTGGAGGGAAGAAGTGGAAAAAGTTGGTTGTTTTGGTTTGCAACTTTTCCTCTCAAAAACACCTTTCTGACTGTTCCATGTGCAAAATTTTCATCAGTGTCATAGCATATTTCACATGTATGGAGTATCTCATGTATGTACTTAGTCTACCTAGTAGAGTATAACTGACATTATCTGATTTCATAACTCCAGGATTTCTTGAATGCCTTTTCCACTGATGATTCATAGGATTAAAAACTATTTAGTTTTGTTTTTTCTCAATAAATTTAAACAGAAGAAAAGTATTTCTTGACACTTCATTGGAGGATTCTTTAGTTGTTGGTTTGGGCTTTTTTTTCTTTTGAGTCAGCCTCACTAAATTGATAAGAAGGTAAGACATTTTAAGAAGACAGTGTAAAATGCTTACCAGATATTTATCACAAGAGTTTTACTTTGCAATATTTCATACAAATCTTGACAAAAGAAACAAGATGAGCTCAACTTAAAACACCAAACAAGACACACATATGAGAGGTTAAATCTTTTTTTATTATTATTAATTTTGGGTGTTTGTCAGTGGTGAGTGTTATTACTTCTCAGACCAAGTCCATATATCACCATACACTGTATTCAAGTTATTTTAACAGTTCTAATTGATATGCATATCTTGATTCAAAAGGAAGATCCGTGACCTAACCTTTTAAGTAGCAATAATGACCTTCATTACAAAATACAAGAGACATTGTATATGTTACTTGTTAAGAAGTACAGTATAGTAGAAAGCTAGATCCTTTGTATCATAGATTTGAATTTGACTCCTATTTCTGCTAGTTATGCTTTGACCATATACAAGTTTCTTTTCCATGCCTGATTCCTTATCTTTTAAATTGAAATCATATTTGCTTCTAGAGTGTCATGAAGATTAAATGAGATTACGCGCGCACACACGCGCGCGCACGCGCACACACACACACACACACAAAGGACAATGCTTGGCGTATATTGGACATGAGATATAGGGACTACCTGTGGTAGTTTGTTACAGTTTTTATCATCATTGTTCTTACAGCTTATTACTATTCTTCCAAAGATGGAAAAATAGTAACTGTTGTTAGGTCAGGTAAGTGATTCTCAAACTTTAGCTTGCATCACAATTACTTGGCAGCCTTATTAACAAGTTGCTGAGCCAATACCTCCATTGTTTCTGATTTAATAAGTCTGTAGATGGGACCTGAGGATTTGCATTTCTAACGAGTTCCCAGGTGATGCCCATGATTTTGCTGGTCTTTGTCTGAAGCTGTACTTTGAGAACTTCTCTGTCAGTTGATTCTACAGGAGAGAGAAATGTATCTTTGGGGGGGGGAAGATTCCATTAGTAAATACCTGAAGTTTTCTCTATTCCATTTGAAGCTTTTTGTTCAGTACCATTATTCCAGACAAATATACAAAAAGGAATGGATGTTTGCAGTAGATGGATATGTCATTTTACTTAAATTTTGGTTCAGTATATATGACAAATCAACTTATGTGTAAAAGTTCAGCTTGCAGAACTAAGCACTTTCCACAAAATTAGTCAGAAGCAACTTAAACATTAACAGGCCCCTTTTATTTTCCCATAAAACAATTAATTCCCCAGTCAGGTAAATGCCATTTTAAAGAAAAGTGTGTGTGTGTGTGTGTGTGTGTGTGTGTGTGTGTGTGTGTGTGTGTGTGAGAGAGAGAGAGAGAGAGAGAGAGAGAGACGTGTGTAGTGTGCCTATATAAAATAACAATTTTACCCAGCTTTATCTGACTTCTACAGTTGAGCTTTAGTCTTAACCTTTACCTTTAAAAATTTTAGCTCTGAAGTTGGAAAATAAAATTTCAGAAGTATCATTAAACTTCCTTTAAAAAATCTCTCTTGAGGTGATTGCTGGCCACTGGCATGGACACTTTTCAACAAAACTATTTCCATAGTGATGAAAGCAAGCAGAAATACTGGTTTCTACTAAGTATTAATACATAGCTCACTTCTTCTGTCATATTAAAATACAGAATCATGAACTTAAAACAGTTTTAAGTTGTATTCACAGAATAAACTTTTCACAATGGCTTTTGGTTTTTTATTTTAAAGAAGCTTTCAATGTTTTCTCAGAAAATGTTTAGGAATTAAGACATTTAGTTCCATTTATGAGAGTTTATCAACCACAGAAAATCTCTTAAAATGCCATATCCCAAGTTAACCTCAAAGTCCCCACCTGTAAACGTGGGTATGGTTTACTACTCACAGGTAAAGAACATGCATTATTAAACAACTTCAACTCATTGTTAAGAAACCTGCAGTATGAATTAGTATTATAAGTGATAGCTTGATGTTACCATATTTTGAAAAGTATTGATAGGTCTTGTATGCAGTTCTTTCTCTTTTTGCAAATCATATTTCCAGGGAATTGAAGAATTGTAAGAATTGAAAGAATTGATGATTTAAATCAGAAGTATTTCTTACCCCTAAAAATTCTGTGACTCTGAGTTCTAGGATCCAACCCCTTATTTATTTAAAGTATTTGTTGTATGTCAATAATGTTACATACAAATTTTTGATACTGTGTATATTCTCCCCTTTTAATTAATCTTGACAGCAGGCTATGTGGTCTGTCCTATGTAATTTAACTAGAATTATTTAGTATCTCACTAATTTAAAAATAGTGGTCATTCAGATAGTATATATAATCTTAATGAGTAGAATTTTTTAAATAATTTCATCCACTGAATCTTTAGGTGATAGAGGCTGCTCCATTATTAACACCTTTCTCAAACTAAAGATTTAAAAATTGAAGGGGTGCCTCGGTGGCTCAGTCGGTTGGGCATCCAACTTTGGCTCAGGTCATGATCTCTTGTTTCGTGAGTTCGAGCCCCACATTGGGCTCTGTGCTGACAGCTCAGAGCCTGGAGCCTGCCTCAGATTCTGTGTCTCCCTCTCTCTGCCCCTCACCCACTTGTGCTCTGTCTCTCTCAAAAATGAATAAACATTAAAAAAAAATTTTTTTTAATTGAAGGATTCTTTCAGCCTGACTTCACCTTGTGGGTCCAACACTGAATAGGATTCTAATGCTTAGAATTTATTATACCATAGCCTGATATAACATGTGATTTTTTTTTTTCATTAACTTCACTGGTACACATTAGTATTAGTATATCATCTTTATATTTTAATCGGAAATACATACTTTTCCTTCAAAGTAGTAAAGATTATTTCTAATATGTGTACTTAAGATAGTTGGCAACTTCCTAAATTTAAGCAGAGGATTTATCTTAGTTAAGACAAGCTGACATTTTTGAGAATTTGAGAAAACATTCCTGCAGTGTATGTTTCTCTATGTAATTCGATCAGTGATGACATTAATGCGTTTGTAATAATTTCATTTGATGGTCTGAATCCAGTGCATATATTTCCATTCTACCTTACAATAACCTTTTGAGAATATGTAGCCTGATTTTATTAATAGAAAAACTCAGATTTAACTAAGTTGTTTTAAAGTATCTAGATAAGTCTGTCTAGCTTTTTAAATCATTAAACTAATTTAAACATCTTTTCGTTTAAGGTAAATACATAGTTCTAATAATACATAATCTTTGAACATGTCAAAAATTAAGTGTTTATTCCTAAAACAAATGAAAAAAAAAACTTGTGTTTTCATATCAGCCATTCATTACACACCTGCCAGGGGCATTCTAGGCGGTAGGTGGTGGTGTGCACAACAGCCCTGTCCCTGCTGGTTAGACACCCACGTGGGTATGTGTTGTGTGTGTACATGGAGCAACAGTATGAAAGAGATGTTACCAACAATTAAAGTTGGGGAACAAAGAGACACCAGTATATATTGTAAGACTTCTGTATTTTCGGAAGAATAAAAATACATAGAAGACCAAAACAAAGATTAAAAAAAAAAAGGCAAAATTTGACCTGTTTAATTTCTGAATCTCTGCTATATGAGTTTTTAAATTCAATTAAAGTGTTTATGCTCCCTGAGTTTAAACTGACCTTTTAATACATAGGGTGGAAAATAGGTGCATTGGTGGAAGTTATAGTTTAAATTCTAATAATACTTTGTAGTTCACCAGTGTACAATGACAAGGACAGGACGACTGAACGAGGTTTAACTTCTGTAACTTTATGATTTGTTACAGTTACAAATAGACTTTTTACCCTGCAACTACGTGTATTTTGGAACTAAATTGCCGATTTTAATTTCTAAAGAATGATACAAGAAGAAGACATTTTCTTCACTAATTTGGTATTCTTCTTAAGCCAGGCAGTAAATTTGTTTTTAAAACATCGGGAGAGGGAGAGAGAGAGGGAGGGAGGGAGAGGTGCTTACACATCAGGGGGCTGTGGTGATTGCAATGGTGGCTCTGAAGTTTGCTAGTTTTAACGATAAGCAGGCAGCCTGTGTGTCTTAGTTACTCTGTCAGGCCCTATTTATAGGTTTACCATAAACCTACGTATTTATTACAGGTCACCTATTATTTATAGGTGAACCATTTTAGTTTAAAGTCATTGCAGGGTCCCTTCTTTATAAACTTCTGTCAGTAGGCTGAATGTTTTCAACATTTCTGCACGGGGGGTGTAATGAAGTAAATCTATTTGGATCTTGGGCTAAAACTATTAAAAATAATGTGTTAACACCAGAAAGTCATGGTCTGGATTCGAATCCTAGATCTGCCACTTCCTATGTGATTTGGTCAGGTTGCTTGTGAGCCTCATTTCTTCAGGGTGCAAAGTGAAGATAATGATATTTATAGAGTTATCAGAAAGATTACAGTAAACTTAGCTGTGTCTCTGGTTTGGGCACATACTAAGCTTTCAATTGTTAATTTAATATTCTTAAATTGTAAATACATGGTTTGGTATCTTAGAGTTTAATCATTATGGTCTAGGTTTTCATTTTAATTTAATAATGGAAACATCCATTTTAGAATCCATTTGAAACAAGATAGGTATGGTAAAATATGTTAACCCATAGTGCTAACTTTACTCGCTGGCTTTCTTTAATACATAAGATATATTAAGGTTCATAATTTTTAAAATGGGATTGATTTAGTTTGTGCTATAATTGAACTCAAATTATAGAATTAGTACTTTTAGAACCTCTTGCTTTTTGGATTTGCAAAGGTATGTTTTGTTTTTTTTAATATACACAATTATTTTCTGCATCTCTCTTAGGAAGTGTCATGGAATTACTTCATCATTCTTAAATTTTAAAATTCATGAAGTTAATGTATTTTGAAAGTTTAATTAAAATGAGCTATATAGTTTGTCTTGAGATGTGCCTACATCAAAATCGTGGTATAGTTTTCAATGGCACCTACATCTTATCAGTGCTTTGGGTTTGAAATGGGAAGTCTGGAGATGTGCAAGTTACAAGTTCATTGTTTTCCTCAGATTTTAATGAGGTTAGAATAACTCTATGTTTGTTTTTTTTTTTCCTAAAGTATAATAATTACAAATTGGAAAATCATTTCTTTTCTCAAGGAAAAACAAATTTTTCAGTTTTATACTTCATTGAAGGTTGGCTTTATTTTAAATATCCAGTAATTTTCAGTGCTTTTTATTGGCCACACAGTAATTGCTGCTCAAGCTTTTATTTTTCAACAAAAAAATGCTTGGAGTTTCAGTGGTTATAAAATAGATGTTCATGAGTAGTATTTCACACAGAAAGGCTGTATTTTTGTACTTATCAGATAGAAACTACAGCACATTACTTTTTCTTCAAGCTCTATTTTACTCAGTAGGAAAAAGAGTTGGCACATCTGTGTCTGTGTTCATTCTCATACATGTAGGTATTTTATCTAGTAAAATATATTTTGACAAAAATCTGAGATCAGAGGGAGAGGAAATCATCTAAATTCTTGAATTTGGTTTTATAGGAGTTTCATCTGGAATACGACAAATTAGAAGAGCGGCCTCACCTGCCATCCACCTTCAACTACAACCCTGCTCAGCAAGCCTTCTAAACAAAGACTTCCCTTTTCTTGGGGTATGGCTGTCTCAGCACAATACTCAACATAACTGCAGAACTGATGTGGCTCAGGCACCCTGGTTTTAATTCCTTGAGGATCTGGCAATTGGCTTATGCAAAGGGTCACCATTTGAGGTCCTGCCTTACTAATTATGTGCTGCCCAACAACTAAATTTATACTTTGTTTTTCTCTAGTTCGAGCAGGGTCTGAATTTTTTTCATTTATTTTCTTTTTTGCCAGCAGACAGACTTGAGTCTATAAAGACAAGCAAGTACACTGACAGAAGTTTACCATTTAGTTTCTAAAATGTAAAAAAAAAAAAAAACCACAAAAGACTCCACAAAATTAGACCACAAAATTTGCATTGTTCATTGTAGCACTATTGGTAATAAAATAACAAATGTTTGTGCATTTTTATGTGAAGATCCTTCTCGTATTTCATTTGGAAAGATGAGCAAGGTCTGCTTCCTTCATTTTACTTCCCCTTCTGTTTTTGAAAGGCAGTTTCGCCAAGCTTAACGCAAGAATATCTGACTGTTTAGAAGAAAGATATTGCCACAATCTCTGGATGGTTTCCAGGGTTGTGTTATTACTGAGCTTCATCTTTCCAGAATGAGCAAAACACTGTCCAGTCTTTGTTACGATTTTGTAATAAATGTGTACATTTTTTTTAAATTTTTGGACATCACATGAATAAAGGTATGTATGTACGAATGTGTATATATTATATATATGACATCTATTTTGGAAAATGTTTGCCCTGCTGTACCTCATTTTTAGGAGGTGTGCATGGATGCAATATATGAAAATGGGACATTCTGGAACTGCTGGTCAGGGGACTTTGTCGCCCTGTGCACTAAAGGGCCAGATTTTCAGCAGCCAAGGACATCCATACCCAAGTGAATGTGATGGGACTTAACGAAGTGAACTGAGACAATTCACTCTGGCTGTTTGAACAGCAGCGTTTCATAGGAAGAGAAAAAAAGATCAATCTTGTATTTTCTGACCACATAAAGGCTTCTTCTCTTTGTAATAAAGTAGAAAAGCTCTCCTCACTGCAGTGTTGACTTTGATTTGAAATTGTGAAATTATTTCTTCAACATGAAAAATAGACCCCCTGCCCCCAAAACCCTCAAGTTTTACAAATATCTAACTGAATGGCGTGACTAAACAATTTAAAATGTAGTCTTTTTTTTTCAGCTTTTGACAAGTAATTTGATGGCACCATATACCATTTTACTTGTAGCTTAAAAATGCAGATGTATTTGTAGTTATTAACCAAGTTCAAAACAGAAACTATTTTTTAAAAGAGTTAACGGCTGCATTAGAGATAGTTTCCTGAACACTTGTGGGACCAGGCAAAATACTTTTGGGAGAAATTTAGGAGAAATGTCTTGATAGACCTTTGAGATTTACCTTTAAGAAGTAATATGCAAATTAAGGTAAGCCAAAAGGGAGTGAGGTAGACTTTACCTTCAGTTTGGATATTTCACATTTACAAATTGATGGATTCTTTTCCATCTAAAGACAAATACTGTTTTTAAAAATGTCTGAAGACTGCAGCTACAGACACTAGAGATAGTAAAAAAGGCAGTGAATTTTGATTCTCTAAATTTTCATTTTTAACCTATTTTTCTATGAAGAGTGAAAGTTTATTGTCATTTACCAAATCATGTTTGAAAATGAAACATTTATGACATTGCTGTGTTTGTGTATCAGGAATATAAAATGACTTAAGATTTACCTTTTTCTATGTATTTTGAGATATGGAGAAACTGACGTAAAAATACCAGGATTTTTTAATCTTTCAGATTTAAACCAAAGCATCTCCTCTGTAGGAAAGACGGCACTTACATCACTGTAGTTTTAACTGTTGTGCACAAAACCTTCTCAAATCATATTTGACATAAACAGGAGTCAAATCCTAGAAATTGATTTCTTATTTCACAAAGGCATTACATTTTTTCATAATAATTGACTTTGTAAAATGTAACTTTTCCTACATAACCATGAGAAACAGGTTAAAAACAAAGGGTGGGGGGGAGTGGAGGGTAGGGGATCTTTATTTCTGTGAGTATAAACATAACTGTAGCGTGTCCCTGTGATCATGATTGGGACTTTTGTGAATGCCTCAGAAAAGCAAAACAGCTCCTATCAAGTGGTTTGTTGTCTTGGCCGTATAGAAAGTTTAACATGCACACTTTGCCAGTTTTCTAAGCTCTTTTTACCCTAAATCATCAAAATAAGAAAACTCTTGCATGTAAACCAACTTTTTATAACTTGTTAATATCTGAAATTACCGTGCTCTTGACTTCAAATCCAAGTTTTAAAAATCTATTTGAAATCTTTAAAGTACTATATTAAACTCTTTAACATAACACACTGTTACATTCTTTGGTTTTATAACTTGTGGGTTATACATGTACAGAAGTTGGCCTGAACTAATATTTCACATTTTCTTTCATAGGTTTAATTCTGTTAAATTTTCCCTATATAACTAGTGACATAGATGTGTACATTGTTAAATCATTTTTGTAATTATACTATAATTGGCTCTGGGAGAAAAAAAGCTATTTAGTTGCAAAAGAAAATTCTTTCACCTATTTAGTTTCATATATCTATTCTATGCTTCTTGTGGTCCTACTATAATTTATATGATAAAACTCCATTTTCAGGGATTTTTTTCACTGCAGAAAGTTTTCCTTAGATATAAAAAATTTTAAGAACTGAAAGTATATTTGAATTCTTACAGTATAAGATTAAGCCAACCACTTACTTGTCTTTTCCGTTTTGCCACTGAACTTGGGACACCACAGGTGCTTGATAAATACATGTTGGTTGAATGGTATAAATTGATATTTCAGTTTGAAAATAAAATGTACAAATTAAAGCATTGGGCTTTGAAATAATTTACTATCTTTTTGCTGTAATTTCATTTTCAAAAGAATTCTTTCTAAAGCATTTTCAATTAACTTCCAAAACTTTCAAATTTTTCCCTCTCCACTCTTTCTAATTGACCCTTCCTCTCAATCCTTCATTCAGAAACAGATCTTGCATCCTGTTACACCTCGTGCTTGTAAAATATGTGGCATCTGAGCATGCCTGCAAAGAAGGGCACATTTATTTAACTTAGATTGGCTTACTAGCATCAATTTTGCAGAAAGTTGCTAAAAACCTAAATGTGCACATACATACATAAAAGGTATGTTCATATTTAATGTTCTCTTAACTAAGTTTGTGTAGTTAAAAAAGAAGACCTAGAAATACTGCCTAATTGGTTCCATTAAGACAGTCTGTGGATAAAAAGCCAGACTTCTCTCAATGCCTTTTTAAAAGCTAGGTCCTAATAGCATGTGAAAAGGCTGTTTCCTTGTCACTAGTATTGCCAGTGAATTGGATCACATTATGAATACATGACAGATCTAGGAGATGAAGCAAATAAACACAATGCAAGTCAAAATTGGGATCTAAATCTAACCCAGTAATTTTGTGTGTTAAATTGCGTAAAATAGGATACATTGAGTCAAGATAATTGCTTTTGCACTTTGGTTGCTAAAAAAAGTAAAGGATGGTGGAATGCAACATATCTTATATGTATGTAGATCAATGTAAATTGTAACTGGTTCCAAAAATACTGATGTAATTTTCAGCTACTTTAAGAATAGTGCTCATAGGGCGCCTGGGTGGCTCCATCCCTTAAGCATCCAGCTTCAACTCAGGTCATGGTCCCGGAGTTCGAGTTTGAGCCCCGTGTCGGGCTCTGGGCTGATAGCTCAGAGCGTGGAGCCTGCTTTGGATTCTGTGTCACCCTCTCTCTCTGCTTCTCCCTCCCTCCCTCCCTCCCTCCCTGTCTCTCTCTCTCTCTTTCTCTCTCTCTCTCTCTCTCTCAAAAATAAAACATTAAAAATTTTTTTTAAAGTGTAGTGCTCAGAACAAGGTAGGAAGTCTGCTGTATTTTAAGAGCTGCTATTAGTGAGGAAGGCAGGAGAATAGAATGTGGCATGCCGTCTAGCCGCCAAGCAATATACTACATGTTTGATATGCATTATTGTATCTGGTCTTTAGCATAGCGTCATGAAGTACTTCATTTTACATTAAATTTAAAATGTACCAAAAAAAAAAAAAACCCAAAAACCAAAACCATGAAGTAAGAATGTTTACATTAGAGAATAAACTCTAGAAACATGGTATCTGTCTTCAGGTTTCAAATTCAAGAGTTGTAAGTAAAGATCCTGTGTGACTGAAGAACAGAACTCAGACTGATGAGAGAAAAAGATTTTGGTATAGTATTAGAAGTGAGGTAATTAAGATTTGGGAATGAGGTGCTTTGTAAGGCATTAGATTCAACCTCAGAACATAACCAAGAAGAGACTCTGGACAGTGTTCTGTGCATAAGGTAAGGAGTTGGACCAGATAACCATGAATGTTCCGTTTACTGAAAAAGTGTTGAAGTGGGATAATTACTGTATTTTATCAAAACTAATTGCCAACCATTGTAAAGTACACCATTCTGCGTACTACTAAGGAAGAAAGAAGGAGCTCAATTAAACTATGATAAACCATGCATTACATAAATGGCATACCAATTTCAAGGATGTCATACATGGGAAGAATGTGCATCTTAGAAGTGATGAGATGTGGACCTCAAAGAAGAGATAATTACTGGACAACTTAAGGGAAGACATGACAGCTGCTTCAAATGTAGGAGGGACCTGAGAGGGCAAGTCTCAACCCAGCAGGTGGAAGTTGGATGAGTCACATTTGGGTTCTGTATAACAAGGTGCTGGCCCACAATACTGTTACATGAAGGACTCCATCGACAAAAATGTCCAAACAAACTGGATGACTGTCAATTGCTATTGAGAGGACTGCCTTTTTGAGTAAAAATTTGGATTTGACAATTTCTAGGCCTCTTTCAGCTCTTTAGAAGATGCTGATAGCGTGTTTTGACCTGAATTTGAGGAATATGATGTATTCAAGGGCTGGAAAGTTAAATACTTAGTATTTAAGTGCTAAATACTTAAAGCATTGACCTAGTCCAAATGTGCTCTTTTGTGAGTCCTAGAGAAGGTTTACTTACATTACTGCTATATCTTTGGAAAGATTTAAATGATAATAATAAAAAAAAGAATTACAGAGTGCAACTTTATTCAACTTTTTTTGTTTTTACTTTAGGAATAAGGCTATGTATAAAACAGTCGTAAAAGCACACAAATAGTAAATCATATGCAGTGTATGTTCACCAGATTTACTTATATATTCTAGTGCTACATTAAAGGAGGGAAGAGACCATTTTTTTGATAAGTTTTGAGGTAAATATTTAGTCTGAAATTGTACATTGCATTAGTGTTCAATCTCCTATTTTCTGCTACAGTAGTGATCACAAAACGTAAGCAGTAATCCTGTTTCTTATGTAAAGAGAAAACCGATCATTAAATTTGATGTGTAAAAAAATCTCAGTTTGGATGGAGTTAGCTCCAGGAGCTCAGCAGAGGCAAAGTTATCCTCTACGTAATTTTCAAACTTTATGTGCACCTGAGGAGCATGTTCAAAATATTAGTTATAGGCCTCCTACTTCATTCATTCATTCATTCATTCATTCAGAGCAGGGGAGGGGCAGAGGGAGAGGATATCAAGCAGGCTCCACACTCATGGAGCCTACACATGACCTGAGCTGAAATCAAGAGTTGGACATTTAACTGACTGAGGAAACCACCCCAGTGCTCCTAGGTCTCCTATTTAGATACTCTGACTCAGATATCTAGGGAGAGGCCAGAAATACATACTGTAGTAAATACAAGTCATTTCCGAAGCTAATGAACTAGAATTTACACTTCAGCTATACTTTGCCTATTGTGCAGGTACTAACTAGAATAAAATCTAAAATCTTAGGGGCGCCTGGGTGGCGCAGTCGGTTAAGCGTCCGACTTCAGCCAGGTCACGATCTCGCGGTCCGTGAGTTCGAGCCCCGCGTCGGGCTCTGGGCTGATGGCTCAGAGCCTGGAGCCTGTTTCTGATTCTGTGTCTCCCTCTCTCTCTGCCCCTCCCCCGTTCA